GTCGTCTCCCTCTCTCGACCGATTCAACCGCGTGTGTGCGTTCCTACACGATCGTCCGGATCCAAAGAGAAAATTAAAAAAGCCATGTTTCGGGGGCCGAGAAAGTGCAACAGCCTAACGGGAGGGCCCCGTTTTTGCTGCTGGTAGCAGCGGAAAGTTCACCGGTGCGAAGATCGCGCGGATACAAAAGGTTACACAGAGGCGTCGATCGCGAGCCCGCTCCTCTCTCGATCTCCTTCGAGAGGAACGTCTTGACCTTCCACCGACCACGATCCGCGCTACAACCGCGCGCGGAACATCCTCGAAACTCTTGCGTAACTCTGCCCCGTGACAGCGGCCGTATAAACGATGACGCTATAACGCGTCGTGAAATCCCGGCGGATTTTTCCGCCGCTGATGCCAACAGTGGGTGTGCCTGTCCGCCTAGAGCCACGTAGGAACGATCTCGGTCAGCGAGTCGCGTTATCTCTTCCGCGACCACCGACGTCGCGGAAATAAGCTTGACAGCCGATCGCGCGGATAAACGGGGGGGGGCCCCCGGGTACCAGGTGGACCGGTGTCGGATGCAATCGTCGTCGCGACGCATCGCTCCCCACGTGGCACGCAATACGCGCCATCAGACCATGCACGTTCGTCGAAGAAACACGAGTCTCGGAGAAAAAGAGAAATTCAATTTGACCTACGATCAACTCCCCCTCGAATATTCCACTTTTTCGTCTTCCTCCTCGCGCTGGTACCGTCGCACGGCGTGCAGCTGTCGATCCACGGAGACATCTTTGCCGTGCGTGCACGCAGCTGCACAGTGTGCACAGTGTGCACACGCGTTCGCGTATCGGAGCCCCCGGTGTATATCGGTTTTCCATGCGATCGTTTAGTCTCCATACGTCCGCCGTGTTTGCCCCGTGTGCCACGTTCTACGGGACAACGAATTCCATCGCGATTTCCACCATTTTCTCCTCTTTTCTTTCCCCACTTTCCTTCGGCCGAAACTCGTGTGTAGCCCCTCTATTGACCGAAGCGCGGTCGCGCGGTAAATTGACTGTGCCCGATGCACGCGCTTTATCGCGCGCGAAGCATTTGCGTGAGAGCGTAATTTCTCCGGACAGGTTGGATAAAAATAACGAGCCCGTCCCCACCCGGCGGCCTCTCTCCTTATCTCTGTAAATTCAAGCCCCTAATGGAAAATCTGTCCCCGCTAGATCGGGCCGTGGTCGAAATAAACGAGCGAAAATGGGTCAATGTAGAAACGATAACAGTCGCGCGGTACTTATCGGGGATTAACGTATCGGATGTAACAGCGGCGTCGTTCATACCGCGGACGGTATCTGCCGGATAACCGATACGAATCAATCGACTCGCAATTTCCGATCGCGAGCGCTCGGCAAAGCCGAGCTGCGGATAGCAAGCGCGCAACAACCACCGAACCATTCCGTCCGCCGGCGAGATAAGGGGTCCGTGGAATTCGATTCGACTCGAAGAAGCGTTTCCTTCCCGTCCGGCCAGCCCGAACGATTAATCGAACCCTCGATATATCGGGCCGTGATTGCGGGATTACCCGTTGTCTCGCTCGACTAACGGAGTTTCACCTTCCAGATATCCGATCTTAATCCCCGCGCGTAAGGAACTTTCCACCCCTCCACGAGCCGAACGAAAGGGTGCTTTCTCCTCAGCCATCGTTCTACGAAACGTTATCGGCGTTCGGGAATTGCCAGCGATTTCCCCGGATCCCAGAAGTCCTCGCGATAACCCGCTCCGAATGGAAGACATGGCGGGGGTTGAAACGAAGATGGTGGAAAAGGGTGGAAGAGAGGGAAATTCCGGGACATGGTCCAGCTCGCGAGGAATCGTGAACAAGGACGCGTGGGCGCGCGTGGCGTGTTGGTTTACGCGTGCGAGACACGAACGAGCGACAAACCGTTCTCGATCTCCGGCGAGAGGAGGAAGAGTCACGTAACAGGAAGCGATTTGCTCGTGCGTCTGGTGGTCGTCGCGTGTCATGAAAATGGCGCGCGAGCGGCTACCACGCGGGTCTAGGATACCTAGGCAAATAGCCCGGAACGCGAATATATGAATATCCATTAAGGGGGAAGTAAATCAGCCGGAGCGAGATGTTTAACCAGCCGACCGCGAAAATCGCCCCGTGGACGAGGCGGAATAATTTCCTCCGGAGCATCCCTTCGACCCTGCGTTTGCCTCTTCTCCTCTGCCACTGGTCATCGATGCACACTCTGGATTTAACTCCCTCTCTCTCTCTCTCTCTCTCGCGCTGTCCCATTTCGTTTCGTTTTTCTCGTTACCCGTGTACGTATGTACATACGTAGCCGGGACCCTCGCACCCACGTTCCTCTGTTTTCCCGCTCGCGCGGCGTTCCTCTCGGCCTCGTCGCGGTTCGTTTGTTCGTTGGGTTGTTCGGTGGCGTGTCGCGCGGAAAGCAACGTCGGTGTATGCCGGTGGCCAATTAATCGCTCACGCTCGGTCGCACTCGCGTTCGGTGTGTTGATCGGCGGCGAGGAAAAATGCGAATTCCGAGCGGAAATACGATGTACAAAGAAGCGTATCGATTCGAAGGGAAAACCGGTTGGCGCGCTCGAGACCCGAGCTCGTTACGGCCGCGGCGATCCGCCATCGTTCCGCATTTTTGCCCCCGACGGGTGCTGCCTTGGAACCAACGGAACACACCGAGCCCTCGTGAGGTCGCGAGGAGCCCTGGATCATCTCGGACACACACTCGCTTACGCTTTGATATTCGTCGCGAAACTCGAAGATCGTGGAGAGAGAGAGAGAGGGGTTGTAATTAGAGGGGGAGGAGAGGTAGCTTCTGTTCTTGGGGATGAGGTCCGCGAAGCAGGCTCTGTCTGGCAACTTCCCGCCACGCGTAAACATAATTACGTTTATTAAGGTCCGCAGAGGGAGAGGGAGGATTGACGAGGACCCCGTCCGAGTGGCGTAATGACGCGTTAAAACAGTTTTAATTCGACGAGGAGAGAATGGACCGGTGCTCGTTAGATTAATCAACAAGTCGACGCGAGTTTTTGATATCGCAGCGGGACAGGGGCGAAGGACAAGGGGGTATGGGTGGGAAAGGACCGGAAGAAATTAAGAGCACAGCGAGTGGAGAGAGGAGTCAAGCTCGCGGAAAAATTCTTCTCCCGGCCTTTTCGAATCGGACCCGCCTTTCATTCGCGCCACCCTTTTCACGGCCATTGATGCGCTCTTTCACCCTTGCCCACCCCTCGTCGCTCTGTGTCCCCCGGCTCGACGAACGGAAAGTTAATTCATTAAAATCGCCCGAGTCTCTGCGAACGAACTTTCTTTGTCGTCCTCGCGCCGAATTACCGACACCCTCGCGGTATTCACCCCTTTAGAGACCCGTCCGTTGTATCGCCACTGTTTCCCGTCTATTCCGGGGTCTCACTTGCATTCGGTAGCGAGTTTCCGCAGAAATTCCGGCAGAATAGAAACGCGTGTCGATGTTCTACTTCTTAGCAAAGAACCACCCTTAAACCCTCTCTCTTCCTCGAGTCAACGTCGGTTCCCGTTGGTTAAACACTGGAATATTTAAAGGCGACAGCGATTGGTCGAACGCTGATGGAAAAGACTAGGACGCTCGTGTGTCCACGGGGCCCGAGAATGCCGCGAAATTGCGGTTTGATGAACAGTCGCGTGAACGAGGTACCCGGAGAACGCGTCTCTTCAAGCAACGGCTCATTCACTCTGCGAAGATCGTTTAGATACACCCGCGCTTATGCTCTCGCTGATAGATCTATGGATCCGTGGATCAAAGTTTCATCCGACTAGTGAACGTGTTCTCTGGAAAGTGGATCAGAAATTGCGCGTAATAACGTAGGTTTGTAAACGAGCTGATATTAGCAGACACTGCTCGGTGTCACGACAGTTTGATCCGAGCAATTACGCAACGCTCGAACGATAGCAATTACGCTGCGTCTGTGGATCGCGATGGCGCGCGATCCAGTCGCGAAACTTGGACACGTCGTCGGCGTCGTTGTCGTCCTCGACGACGAGAGACACTGACAGAGGGGTGGTTCCGGGTGTTGGCAGGTGGAACGCGGAATTTGGTCGGCGCTGGGCTGCGCTCGAGCAATCGGGAAGTACGGTAACTGTGTAATCGCGTTCGCGTTCCCCGAAGGGCAAAGTGTTTAACTTGCAACGGCGTGTGTGTGTGTGTAGCGTGTGCCTAGTGCACGCGTGTCCCGTGCATTTCCACCGCGGAATCTGGTAGAGAAGTTGTCGCGGCACTTGCGCTCTCGCGGCAGACGCGAAGCGGAAAGGAGAGGGAGAGGAGAGGAGAGGAGCGTAGCTGGTGTGCGCGTTTTCACATGCAAATCGCTTCTGCCAGGGTTCGATGAAAAGAAGGAGACCTTTGAACGGTGGGAATACGCGTCTCTGACATTTTTTCGCTTTCCCTCCGACTCGCCTCTGCTTTTCATCCGCGCGACAGAAGAGAAGATCGATAGGCAAGGGGATTCGTTCGACGAATCTCTGTAGGTCGATGCTGCTTTCGTTCCTCGTCCAACGACTCGTGACAGACGCGACAAAGTCCCCGATAGCGGCGGAATTTAGGGAAACGTTTATAATTAGTCATGCGAGAGTACACAGCGGGAAAGGAACAGAGAGAGAGAGAGAGAGAGAGGAGAGGTGGCATTGCGTCGTGGTTTGCATCGAGATCAACGAGGATTTTTCATCGCGTCGCACACGCCTCTGTGATTCACCGTCGTAACAATGCAGCGTTATTTCTAACCTCTTTCCTCCGGGGGCCAGGGGGTGAAATCGGTTTGGGGAAACTGGATATGGAGAAGGGGTCAGATAGGTCCGAATTCGCGATTACGATAAGGACGGGACGATAGCGATTTATCGTGACAGAGGGAACGGGAAAATCCGTGGAAATCCGTGGAAATCCGTGGAATCTTTTCGAGAGCAGGAG